ACATGTACTTTAATAATTTACAGGGAGTAATTTGCATAAAACCATTGAAAGTGGGAATATTTTCAAAGCAGCTGCTTATGTGATGTGATTAGCAAAATCTCCCCATCCCCCATTCCCACCCACACAACATATTAGTCATTCCTTTGAATTAATACATTGAAGGCTCCTGTTAAAATTAAAATATTATCTACTAATAGAGAGACAAATGAAGCTATTAACATTTAGCTCGAATTAGTTGATTGAATTCCTTAATCATTTAGCAAAATCCTTTGTGAAAAGTACCAGAAGAATTTAAGTTTGGGGGATAAAAAATAGTCTAGAACTGGGCTGCTGCTGTCTGGGAAGGGATGATAGTGTTAGGGAGCTATGTAAATCAGGGATTAGTTCAAAAGTATTGGAAATTTAGGTAGAGTGGAGATTGTTAGAAGGTAAAGGATGAGAAAGGCCATGGAAAGTGAATCTCCTTTCCTGTTAGTCTTCCAAGAGATAGATAATATTGTCCCAGTATGTCCTTGATTAGATAATCACTTCTTTACACTTTAGAAAATTCTTGGTGGAAAAAAAATTCTTAGTGAGGTGCCAGTGGATTATACCTGCGATCCTAGCTATTAGAAGGCTGAGATCTGAGAATGGAGGTTCAAAGCCAACCCAGGCAGAAAAGTATATGAGAGTCTTATTTTCAATTAACTAGCAAAAAGGCTGGAAAAGTAGCTACAGCTCCAGTAGTAGAGTACCAGCCTTGAGAGAAAAAGTCAAGAAAGAGTGTGAGGCCCTGAGTTCAAGCCCCAGCATAAAAAGAAAATCCTTTAGCTCTCTCTGAGATTATACCAGATGAAATCGAAGAATTCTCTGGGATCATGTTGACTTTCTGACTCAATTTTGGGTTCAACATCATGTTTTGTTTTTGTTATTTTTGGATATCTATCTTAAAATTTTCTTTTTTTTTTGTTTGTTTTTTCTTTTTTTTGTCGGTCGGTCGTGGGGCCTGAACTCTGGACCTGGGCGCTGTCCTTCAGCTCTTCAGTTGTAGACTAGCCCTCTACCACTTGAGCCTCAGCCCCACCCCCAGCTTTTTTTTTTAAAGAGGTAGCTGAGTAAGAACAGCACCAGCACGCACGTGGTATTCAGGTAAGGGGTAGGTTTATTCAGTAGACCTGTTGGGACCAGGCAAGGTTGGCACTCCATGTGGCTGAGAAAGGCCTGGGAAAGAGAGAGAGCTGGGAAAGAGAGATGAAAGAGAGAGGAAAGAGCTAGAGCAGAGAGAGAGCAGAGAGATATAGATAGAGCTAGAAAAGAACAGCAAGAGAGCACCCCCGGCTTTTTCTGCTTATGTGGTGCTGAGGAATTGAACCCAGGGTCTCATGCAAGCATTCTACCACTGAGCCACATTCCCAGCCCCCTTAAAATTTCTTTTAAGCTACAAATGACATGCTCATTGCAGAGTATCCAGTTATGAAATAAATAGAATCAAACCTAAAAGATCTCAAACATCAACCTCAGTTCCAGGCCTGCATGTTAATGATATGCTCTCAGGAACTTTTCTATGCATTACTGGCATCTATGTTAGATACTATTGTATTATATTACATATTTATATATTAATAGGTGCATATAGCTTTCTTCTTAAATACAACCATCTGTATTCTGTCTGCCTCTTCCTTTTTCTATTTCTTCATTTTATTGTGATAAATGTCTAACTATTTACTATTTTAATCAGTTTTCCGTGTACAATTCAATGGCACTATGCACATTCACAGTGCTGCATAACATTACTTTCAGAAATTTTTTATCATCCCAGATCGAAAGTCTGTATGTTTTAAACAACTCTTCATTTCCCCTCTCCTTAGCCCCTAGTAACCATATTATTTGGTAAGCTATTTGCTTTCTATCTCTATGCTCCTTGCTCTTTTAAATTTTGGAAAAAGTTCATATGTAAACATTATTTAAAAGTTCAAACAGGGCTGGGAAGGTGGCTCAGTGGTAGAATGCTTGCCTTGCATGCATGAGGCCCTGGGTTCGATTCCTCAGCACCATATAAACAGAAAAAGCTGGCTCAAGTGGTAGAATGCTAGCCTTGAGCTGAAGAGCTCAGGGACAGCACCCAGGCCCAGGGTTCAGAGCTCAGGGACAGTGCCCTGGCCCAGAGTTCAAGCCCCACACTAACCAAAAAAAAAAAAAAAGTTCGAACAATACAAAAGAACAAACACAGTATTTCTCTGCTATCTGAAATGGCCCCCAAAAGCTCATGTAATGGAGTTGGGCCCTTTGGAAAGTGATTGGATCATGATATCTCCAACCTCATCAGAGGGTTATTGGGAGGTAGAACCTAGCTGAAGAAAGTAGATGTGGTTTTGAATGGTATATTGGGACAACTATTTATCCACTCTGTTATATTGGGGTCAGCAAACTTCTAACTCAGTAACTTCAAAAAAGAACAAAAGTTTTTATTGTGGCAAAAGCCATATGACATAAAATTTACCCTTCCAAGAAATTCCAAGAGTTATGGAATAATAATGTCAACTATGTACACATTGTACAACAAATCTTCAGAATCCCCATCTATCTTGAATGACTGAAACTCTACACTTATCAAACACTTATTCCCTCCCTTCTCCCAAGCCCCAACTATCATTGTAGTCTCTTTTTCTATGAATTTGATTATTTTACATTCCTCATATGTGTACAATAATGCAGTATTTTTCCTTTTGTGACTGATTTCTTATACTTAAGTTCATCAGTGTAGTAATATGACAAGATTTCTTCTTTTTTAAAGGCTGAATATAGTATTCAATCACATGTGGATAAATTGTTATAATCTAGTATTTACTGGAAGGGCACTTAGATGGTTTTCATTTCTTTTTTTGGGGGGGGGTCCAGTTGTGGGGCCTGAACTCTGGGCCTGGGCGCTATCCCTCAGCTCTTCAGCTCAAGGCTAGCGCTCTACCACTTGAGCCACAGAGCCACTTCTGGCTTTTTTCTTTTTGCTTATGTGGTGCTGAGGAATCGAACCCAGGGCCTCAGGCATGCAAGGCAAGCACTCTACCACTGAGCCACCTTCCCAGCCCCTTCATTTATTGTCTATTGTGAAAAGTGCTTCATAAACATGGGAATGTGGATGTCTTGTTTATGTACTGATTTCATTTCCTTTGGATACATACCTATAAATGGGCTTGCTGGATTTAATGGTAGTTCTATTTTTAAAAAATTGAGGAACCTCCTGTTGTCCATAGTGGTGACACCATTTTACAGTTGCTTAGTGGATGCATAATTTTACAACAGTGAGCATGGGCTCCAATTTCTCCACAACCTGTCAATACTTAATATTTTTTATTGTGGCTATCTTATCATGTTTTGAGCTGCATTTTCCTAATGATTATTGATGTTGAACATCTTATCTACTTGTTGGTTATTTTTAAATCTTCTTTGGAGAAATAGCTTTCCAAGTCCTTTGCTCACTTTTAGATACAACTGGTTTGTTATTGAGTTGTAGACATTCTTTACATATTCCAAATGTTAATTCTTTATCAGATATATGGTTTGCAAATATTTTCTCCCATTCTGTAGGTTGCCTTTTTATACTATTGCTTATCTTTTCCTGTGCAGATTTTTTAAGTTTTGTGCAGTCCCATTTTTCCACTTTTGCTTTTGCTGACTGTGCTTTTGATGTGATGCATTAACTTTCACTGAAGGTTGGACTTTCATCAGGATAGCTTGGTTGTGATTTTTGCCTTCATTTTCTACCTCAGTACTCTCCAGCACATTGTTTAAAACGGGTGTTGGCTGATTGCTATTGGTTTCCTGACAGTATACACCCAGAGCTACCTTTATTTTTCTGGATTTGTTCCCATGCACAGTAACTGAAAGCCTATGAGAGGGATTGTTTTCTGGTTTCTTTCTTCTCCCCTTTTGCTTAGTGTTAGAGACAAAGTCTCTTCTGGGGCTTCCTTTTCCTTCTCCCATCCACCTTGTGAGTCAGGCAGTGGTGTCTGAGCCAATGACAGGCCAGCAGGAAGGCTGACTTCAAACCAATGGGAGGGTCTTGAGTTCCAAATGGACCAATCAGCTTATTAGGGACATTGAATACCTGGATAGCTAGCTAGCCTCTGCCCATTGTCCTCTTAGTAATGACCCTCTTGTTTTGCCAGTCAAGGACCTGAGGTCGAAAAACAAAATAACAACAACAAAAAAAACAACCCCACCAAAACCCTTTGATAGCTTTAATCCATCCACACAACTTCTGTCCAAGGCCCAGTAGAGCTTAACCATTTTCCCTTTGTCAAAAGAAAGAGGGGTTGGGTTTCCTTCAATTGTCTGCCTTTTTCTGTCTCCTCTACTATTTTTGTTGTACTCTGTAGTTAACTTTACATAGAGTGGCTACGTCAAGAGGACCTGTGCAGAGGAACCAGGCACACTCTTCTCGTTGGCAGCTGCAACGACCTTTTCCTTTTTCTAATCTAGGGGCTTGGAGGGCCACGGGGATAACAGTGGCTGTGGGAGAAGAGTTTGGCTCTAGTCTGTCTTCCTTCTGTATTTCACACACATCCTGTGTGCTCTCTCTCACACACACTCTCCCACACACATACACACGCGCGCGCGCGCACACACACACACACACATACACACACACACACACACACACACGCCCGCTTGCTCGCGGTGTGTCTCGCTCAAGATGACAGGGCGCTGGAGAAAAGGCTGCTGGAATCAGCTGGTAGGTACAGTAGTAACCCGAACCCCACCCACCCATTGCCTCTGCTTGCTCAGGTTTCACCGGTCACTCCTGCCAGGGGAGAAATCGTGTAAACGCGCCTCCAGAGGAGGGGCTGGGGGAGCTGGGAGGGGCGGGGGCGGTGGAAGGTGAGCCCGGGAAGGTGGCCCAGCGCCCCTTCTGCCGGGGCCCCTCCCAGTGCTCCCTCAGGGTGTCAGCCTCAGCCCCTGTTTGCCCCTACTCCACACCTCCCCCCCTCCCCCGCTTTGGAAGAGATTGCCTTTTTTTCTCTGCGGCGGCGGAAATGACAGTGTGGTGCTGCCGTGGTGTCATGGTGCTGCCTCTGGACTGAGGGGCGAAAACTCTTTAAGTTTAGCCTGAGAGACCCAGAGGTGGTAGCGTCGTAGTCACCGTGCTGTCCCCTGCGGGGCGCGCGGATCCTGGTTGCTGAGCGGCGGCGGCGGTGAAGGCGGCAGCGGCAGCGGCGGCGGCGAAGGCAGGCGGCGGCCTAGAGTGTTGGTGGCGGCGGCGGCAGTGACGGCGGCCCGAGAGCTGGCTCTGGAGCCCCAGCCAGCTTGCTGCGGAGGCCGGCGAGCGCCCTGCGCTCCCAGGCGCGCGTGGGAGATGGCTGGCACCCGGGAATGCTATGGGTAAAATGCGCCCCCTCGCCGCGGCCCTGGGGCTGGAGCGTTGCCGCCCGCAAGGCTCGGCCCCGGCTCCAGCTGCTCTTCAGGTGCCGCTGGGGCCGGCTTTGGCTAAGGGCACCCGGGCTCGGCGGGAAGGGGTGACGGGAAATGCCAGGCTCAAGGAGGAGGCAGTAGGAATCCCAATCGGGCCCTGGCTCCCGGTCACGCCGTTGGGGCCCGGGCTCCTGCCGCTGCCCTCCTGGGACGGAGTTCGCACTGGCGGGTACTGGGCTGGGGCGGCCCGAGGCCTCCAGTACAGCCGGGCCAAGCCGGGCGCGGGCAGTACAACAGCTCTCCTGTCGCTGGGGCACAAGTCTGGGAAAGGGCACTGCCACCTTCCCACGCTCCCGCGAGCAGCAGAGTCCTCAGCCCGGGCGGCGCCCCTCAATCGGCCGTCTGCCCGGTAGTGGCAGAGCTGGCGCAGTAGGCAGCAGCGGGCGATGCGGCGGACACCCTGCCGGTGGGGAGGCCCGACGAAACTTAATGCCTTTTTCGCTTGGGGGAGCAATCTTTAAGTCTCTGTCTGGGTGGTTCCTTATTTCTGGCCTAGCTGCGAAAGCAGCTCTGTGGGGGAGAGGGAAAACTTACAGACGTCCACAGAACACACTGCGACGGAATCAGTGAAAGGTGGGTTTTTTTTTTTTCATTTCTTACTCGTAACAATTAAGTAAATAACGGCGGAGCAGATTTTTAGTAATACGGGTGATGACCGGCTTTAGGTTACTTTGCAATTCGTGTGCAACACATTTTTTGGAGGCATTTATTTCTTCTTAGAGCAGGAAATTGGGATCCTGGGGTGGTTGGGCTCATCACTTTCTCTCTCTCTCTCTCTCTCTCTCTCTCTCTCTCTCTCTCTCTCTCTGTCTCTCTCTGTCTCTTCCTCTCCTTCTCTCTGTCTTGCAATTCCACACTCCTCTACCTGCCTTCACCACCATTCCCCTTATTCCTGCCTGCCTCGTAACTTGTACTTGCCCACCCAAATCTCCCGTCAAATCCGTCAAATCCCCTCCGTCCCAGCCGATCCCCCATCAACCTGTGTACTTGGAGCTACGCAGCTTCTGGCTTCTCAGCCACGTTGCCTTTTTGAAGATTTTTGAGTGTGGGGCTAGTGAATGGTGAATGTTGTGTGTCTCTGTGAAGGAGTACTTAGGAAGGAATACGTTGGAAACTGTAGACAAATACGGAGACGGGAGATGTTAACTCATCTGATTCTCAAGTTGGGCCAGAAAGGCTGCCTTTAACCCCATTGTGTTCCCTCCCAGTTCTTGAGTCAGTTCCCCGGCAATATTCCAATATAAGGGGGTTGCCAAATAGGGAGTTCTCCCTTACTTTTCTTCTGTTTGGGGAGCTTTAGCTCTACCCTAGATGATTATCCCTAACTCATCCTTCTTTCTACGTTCTCTTCATTCACAGCCCCGAGGGAGAAGGAACCTTTTTATGTATTCTTGCCCAATCAATTAACTTAATGCAGATATTTAATGGAAATTAGATTTCTCCTGATTGCTCCTCACAATTTGATTTATGTGGTTGATATACAGGTTTAGGAGCCAAGAAGATCAGAGAGTTCATCCCAAATCTGATGCTACATTGGCTTTATGACCTTAGGACATCCCAATGACCTTCCTTTCATAGTTGGTGAACTTGTATAAAAGGCTTAATATTGTGTACTGAGTATTGTGACTATTGGCTTGGTCCTTTGAAGATGAAAGGATTCTATAAACCCTTACCATTATATTTTTTTTCAAAGAAAGCAGTTCATTTACCTTTTATTGGGTGATGGATTGACTGGGTGTAAGTAGGTTTATGAAAACCTTAATTTACCATTATTGGTCCCTCTGGATCCAGATCGATTATTGTATTTAGTTCTTAAGTCTGTTTTGTCCCCAAGTAAGTGCCACTGAATGAAAACGTATATACAAGTAGACAGAGAACAATAGTGATGATTTTAAGTTTTGAATTATGTCTATTGTACTTAACGATCTGAGTCAGGCTCATTTGAATACATAACCTCACCCATTTTTTAGCTTGTGTGGGGGCAGTTACTTGATTTCTAATGAAAAGTGGAATAGATAATTTTAGGCCTAGCTATATCAGCATTATGAACATCTTATCTAGTAGCAGTGAGTCTGTAAGCACCTATAATGTACAGAGTCTTTAGCTGGCTGGGCTGAGGCCCTAGACCTGGCCCAGTTTTTTGGCTTTAGGCTTGTTCAAGGACAGACTCCCTACCTGCAACTCCAGGACTAGGACAAAAGTTTCTGTATGGGGCAGAAATAGAGGCTAAAGACTTGAAAGGCTGGTTTGGTCCCTCCAATTTACTTTCATGACTACTAGAATTCTCATCTAGCATGTTGTACCTTGCAAGGCCACCCCAGGGAAGTACTGCTATAAACCAGAGAGACTTGGTTGCTTCACAAACATATCATATGAACAGTGCAAATTGATTTAGATAAATTGGTTTACTTAATCTCTCCTTCTCAGAACAGAGCAACGCGCTCTAACTTGCAGATGTTAAAGTAGTGCCAGTGGCGTCTCATAATTGCTTCCAAATATTGCACTGGCTAACAAGCCTGTTGATTCCTTCATTCCTCCTCCCATAAAACCTGCTGACACCACAACTGAGAAAGAAACTACAGGAGTATGTCTATCAGCAAACCTCATTAGCTTGGTGAAGATGAGAGAGTGCTGTTTTCTTCATTTTCCTCTTGGAATTTTTTCTTTCTCAACAAGAACATAGAACCCCAAAAAGGTGAAGGCAGGGCTTCCACTTACCATATATCTCAAATGACTCTTCCTGGAGGTACCTGTTTGGCCTTGTGTGTCTGTCATAGATTTTGGTAAATTCCTAGGCATTAGGCCCTGGAATTCAGCTACTGTAGGTGGCCCAAGGTTGCTCCATTTCCTTTTAGCTATGTTTTTTTTGTGTGTAAAAAAGAAAATGTGAGTTTGTGTTTGTGAGGCTCCTTCTTATTGAAGTTGGATGTCTTGACTTGGAGCATCATCAAAACTTGAGATGTGACATGTTTGTACTTGATGTACCATACTTCAGGAGGGTTTAAAATTATTCACATTTTAGTAAATGAAACTTTGGTACCAAGACAGTATTGTGCTAATGTTTGTGTTTTAGATTTGTCAAAACAACAATAGCAATATTTAAAAAAAAACACCAATGTGTTAATCACTGAGCAGTGTATAGAAAAGACTAGCAAAATGTTTTTCTTTTTTTTTAATTTAATTTAATTTTTTTTGTGAACATACTGTACAGAGGGGTTACAATTACATGGGCAGGATAATGCGTACATTTCTTATCAAGCATTGCAGCCTCCTCCTTTGTTTACCCTTCACATCCCTTCCCAGCCTCCCCCCCACCCCCCCACAAAATGTTTTTCAATTAATGTGTTAGATCACACTGTCAAGTAAGCAGATCAGATGAATAATGCTGATACACAAAATTCCAACTTCAGTTACCCCTTCCCCACCCTGATGCAGCCTGCTAGTTAACTTTACTTCCCTCTCCCATCCAAGAATTTTGATTTGTCAAAATTCTCCTAAGAGTTTTCTGATCTGTACTTTGCTCATCTTCTCCTTCTTACTAACCATAGGCATATAACATTTTTGATACTCTCCCAGATCCTTCATTTTTCCTTAGAATCCTACAAGCTGGTAAGACTCTTACATAGTAGAATATATTTGACAGTATACTCAGTAGTGGGATTTTGAGTAATATGCCAACATCCCATTGTTCCTTTCTGCATGTGAGATTCACCTGGATATACACTAGAATGTTGATTCTGACTGCCTGACCTCAGGCTTTGTCTCAGCCTCTCTTCTGCAAGTCAGATTCCTCTGGTTCATGAATAGTATCCCTAGGCTCTCAATCATATTCTTACCAAGACCAGATGATCTGATAACAAATCCATTATATAATGTAAAATCCTTCTAAAATGTAAAATCCCAGTATTTGGAATTTACTCTGATAGAAGCATAGTGTATAGGCATGACAGATAATGCTAATTTGGGACCCCAAAGAGTGTGAATATATACGGTTCAGAGATATAAAAATAGTTTAAGGTTGAGAATCCTCTATCACTTTGTCTATAGTCCTTTGTTCAATGTTGCTAGGATCCATGTAGTTCCCTTGAGAGTAGAGGCTTGATTTCAAATAGGCTTCTGTTCTCTGTCCATTGTTTTCTGACTTGAACTTGGGGTCTTCTCTGGCTAATATTTAGAAGCATGCTCTATATACACATACATTGGCAGTTTTAATCTGTAGAAGTAGAGATGACTGTCCAGCCAGCTAGACCACTGAACACTTAAAAATTCATAGATAATTTCATTGGGAAACAGAGGTTGGGAAAAGTAGTTCAAGCTAGAATAGATGAAAAACTGAATTGGAGCTTGGTGTCAGTGGCTCATGCCTGGAAACCTAGCTATTCAGGAGGCCAAGATCCTCAGATTATGGTTCAAAGCCAGCCCCGGCAGGAAAGTCTGTGAGACTCTTATATCCAAATTAACCAGTAAAAAGCTGAAAGAGGAGCTGTGGCTCAAATGGTAGAGTGCTACCTTTGAACAAAATAGCTCAGGGACAGCACTCAGGCCCCAAGTTTAAGTTCTAGGACCAACATAAAACAAAACAAAATGCTGAATTGGTAACAGTTTTTGTTCTCCATTTGTTGCCCAACCTTACAACCTTTCCAGCGTAATGTGAATTAAGATGAAGTTGTTATAAATGCTACTTAGGATTCTTGTCAATGATTTTACCTTGGCAAGTCTGTTTCTTGGTTACTTAATTTTTAGCATTGTAGTAGGTTCTTTTATTTTGATACTAACTTTAATCTTTATGATTACTACATTGTATAACAATACCCCAAACGGTTGGATTTAGGTGATAAATATTGAAAGGAAAATATCTTCATGTAATATAAAATATTAAGTAGGCTTTAGTAACTGATTAGGCAGGAAGT